CATTACCTGTCTGGTATCACCGTTCTGGTCCAGACGACCATCGATTCCCGATCCACCTTGACAATGCAAGCAACGGTGGTGGGGTCGAGCTGAACCAGATCCAGCAGCGAGTACTGGCCGATGGACCCCTGGCCGCCAATGTCGCTTGCCTCGCGTAGATCTTTGCTGAAGACGGTGACTTCCGTGTTCGTTTGGTCGGTCAAGAGCGTGATGCGATCGTCGACAATCTTGACAATCATGCCGACCTCGTCTCGGAAACGACTGCCGCCAATGACCTTGACGTGATCACCGGTCTTGAACAACTTGCGCAGACCCTTATTGGGAACCTCGATTGTCTGTCCGGCTAGGTCGCCTTCGGTCACCCTCAAGGTAACAATATCACCTTGGACGTTGGCCACCTTCCCAACAACACCTCGTTGCTCACCCTCATAGACCTCGATGACGTCTCCAGGGACATAGGCAACGTTCGTGTTACTGTCCTTGAGGCTGGCGGCGAGAGCCTTGAGATCGAGGTTCTCGGTGCCGTCCTCGGAGCCGCTGGCGAACTTGGTAACCTCTTCAAGAGTTGGGTTGACGTCTTTGACATCCAACTGTTGAATCTTGATGTCTTTAACAAGGAACCCATTCTCGAAATCATCGCCGTTGTATATCCAAGTGTTGGTTTGGGGGTTGCCCTGAATCTGGCGGGGCTGCCGCTTCCTTGCCTCCACTTCGCTGAAAAGGCGTTGAGGAGGCCGCGGGCCGGGCATACCTGGGCGCTTGCGCTTCCCATCTCCGGTAAGAATCTCATCCCGGACACCGTAGTCGAGGCGCGGGATATAGCGGACGCGGGCCTCCAAACCGTTCTCGGTTACATCGAGAACCTGGGCGAGGTCACCAGCATATTTCGCTGGCTTTTTCAACCGCACCCATGCGCCGGGTTCCAGATTAGGCGTCTTCATAACGCGGAGCAGGTCCGGCATGTCCTTCAGTTCGACAAGGACCATCTTGGTTCGCGGATAGACGTCAAGAACACCATCCAGAGCGATCATTATGTCGTTCTGACGGCGGGCTTCGACGTAGATGTAACCCTTCATGACGGAGTTTGTGCCGCCACGTTCGAAGGCGGAAGTGATGGAGAGCGCATCCTTGCCGCCTGCTCGCTCTTCGATGCGCCGCATGATGGAGAAAATGACATCCCGTTCCTTTCCTTCCTTACACCTGACGGCCCAGATGCTTGGGTCGTCGACGCTAGGAAGGAGAAGTCGCTTGGGGACGACGGTCATCTCCCCATAGCCCCTTGCCGGAGCTCGCTTGCCGTAGCGCGCCCTCAAAATCTCGGCTTGTTTCTCCGCATCCATGCTTGCCTCGATCTCGCGACGACGGTCCAGCTCGCGATGCCTGCGATCATCGTCAAGGTGGCCGCTCTCAGCAATATCATCGGGATGGGCATTGTCGATGAAGTCTTCTATTTCTTCACCCTCCTTCTCCTCATCCTCTGCTTCGTCTTCGTCCTCGACTTCGGCTTCGATATCGAAGAAGGCGGCGCGATGATCCTTGCGACGCTTGCGGCGATGGCGCTGCAAGGTTTGTCAGTGGCCGATTGCTAACAACAAGGAGCGCATGGGCATTCCGTGGCGCGGGAATCCGGAGAGCGACAGAGCCAAAGGTGCACTCACATGCTGGACATCGTCATCGTCATCCTCCTCTTCTTCCTCTTCCTCCTCCTCCTCATCTTCATCGTATCCGTTCTTGGCTACGCCCTCTTCTTCATCTTCTTCCTCATCCTCATTGTCCTCTTCATCGTCCACATCGCGCGCCCGTTTTGACCCGCTCTTGGAGGGGCGCTCCTCATCCTCGTCGTCCTCATTTTGGTCGTCATCGGCATCAGGGCTCCTTGCGCGGCGGTCGCTGCTTCCAGTGGCGCGCTGGGCACCATCTTCGTCGTCTGAAGCCTCAGCCGGGGCGGGGTTGAAGTTGTCGTCTTCCGACTCGGAATCGCCTGCGAATTGGAAGGGGGCGCTTGACGCCATTTCGGCTACGTGGATGATGGAATCAGCTCGTCTCAGGGACAGTTTCGTAGGGCGCTATGCCGATGGAGGGGGAGAGTGTGATGGTAGCAAGATTGAAAAGAAAGCAGGTTGGCGTTGAAAGAAGGAACAAAGGCAGCTTTTATGAATAGTCGAGCCTTGAGCGAGGAAGGCGATCCGAGCTTCAAGGCCAAGATTCGGCGAGGTTGGGGCTAAGCCGAGTTTGTAATAGCGCTCAGCTTCGGCGAACAACTTTCTCCGGCAGCTCGCCCCACTCGCCGGGATTTGCCATCAACACGCGAACCTTCTTCAGCGTCCTCCACTCACCCCAAGCTGAGCTACCGAGCGCAACCACTGAGATCCGTAGAAACCATTGCCCTCTTTGTTATAATCACTCCCTGCCAACATGTGAACCACGACCTGATTTAGAGAATGCAGAAATCGACCATGGTGCATGTTTTGCCAGTTAAAACTTAAGAAATTCGAACTTGGAAGGTGCGCACACGCTGAAAAAGAAAATTTACTGGGCCACCATGTAACAGGCAGCTCGTTACGCCCATGGAGCCCTTACATGCATGCCTCGGGGTTGAGCATTTTCATGCAAACTCAGCCAAAACAAATAAAAGCAGTAGGTAAAAGGCTGTATGAAGCAGGATCAGCCGTCGTTCGTTTGGGCTCGAATCGTTCGAATACTTGTCGAGATTCCCCACCGTGTGGCTATGAAGTTTTAGAGGGCTGGCTGCTGGCGGATATAAACTTAGCAATGCACATAACAGTCGGTCATGGTCAACTTCGACATAAAGGATAACTGCCGAGACGAAGACTTGTTCTATGAGAGATGGTCTATTCTTATTTCTATCACTTCTGCCTAAATTCGTTCACCGCACCCGATAAAACCTCTTATTGAGAATAGTGGGTGGGGATGGAAAGGATGAAGATTACCTGCAACCAGCAGCATAGCCGTGTTCTCGTGGTAGTTCCAGCCTGCCCTGGTCCATCTATTTTCAGCGAGATACCGGTTGGATTACGGATTACATCCTAACTACCCTTCCTTCTGTCATTATGAGCGCCAGCACATCTACAGCACGGAATCCTCACTTTGGTATTGAGATCGAAATCTTCGTCAAGGTTAAGCCCCATGTGAAAGCTGACGTCCTGGACAAAAAAAGGAAGAACAAGAAGGCAGGATCCAAAGACAAGAAGTATGAAATAAAGCCGTATTGGGAATCGTGGGACTTCGACCTCTCAAACGAAGCGGCAGGCGGTTTCCATGCGACCAAAAAGATAGGCCAGCGCAAACGGGCAGCCCTGGCCATCAAGTCATGCATCAAGCGAGTCCTAGGCAAAGACCATGGCTGGGAGTGCGTATATGACCAAAGTTTGAAGGAATGGCAGTTGTCAGGACCCGAGCCCCCAGAGCCTCGGAAATGGTGTAAGTCCGGTGAGGACTTTATCGTCTTGGATAGAGATGCTGACGAAGAGCAACACTGGGGGCGTTGAAATCATCTCGCCCCCCATAGCGGCGTCAAGCAACTGGCAACGCACGATTCATAGGGTTTTCCGGGCCGTTTGTGAACAGTTCGACCTCTGGACCAACGACCTTTGCGCCTGCCACGTTCATGTTTCGCTTGGGCCGGACCCAAAAGGCGAGTTCGGTAGAAAAGACCTCGTCAAATTCGGGAAGGGTACCTACTTCTGGGAAGAGGCGTTGAAGGGGCTGCTACCCTATGCACGTCATGAGAACCGATATGCCGTGGCCAACCACCTCCGTTACGGGGAGAAGCAGTATAAAAACGTCCCGACCAAGGGCTGGGAGCCCGTCTTCAACCTCATCACCGCGCCCATGGAAGCGGACGTGAGAAAGCACAAGGACAACTTCATCAACGCGTTGAATGGAGGTACCACCGGCGCCGCCGTCAAGTATATGTCGACCAATTTCCAGGCCTATCTCAGAATCAAGACGGTCGAGCTTCGTCGGCAAGCCGGAGCCGCCTCCGCCACGACTACCATCTTCCGCGCGTTACTCGCCGTCACCTTCAACATCAGCGCGTTGGAATACCGCTTTCCCAGCGCGTCCAAAGAATACCCATCCACGCAAACACTGATAGCGGAGCTTGTGCGCTGCATGCACACTCTCCCGCAAGAGTCTCATCATCCTAATTTCGAAGCGTGGCTGAAGCAGTGCGCCACCACATACGCGAGGGAGTCCAAGTCCCGCACCGCGTACACGGTAGGACAGACTAACACGCGCGAGATGGACCTTCGGATCCGCGAAGGATCGGAACATGCGCTAGCCCCCGCGGCGTCTTCATCGGCGGCACCCGCGGCGGCCCAGGCTGCCCCTAAAAAGACCGGAAAGGCCGCGGCTTCGTCTGCTGCCCCCGCAGCTGCGGCACAACCGTCCACATCCACATTGCCAGTCCGGACGGTGGGCAGTGGTGGAGTGAGCTACTCACGGCAATACACGTTGGATGACGTTAACTTTTCAAATAACCGTTGAGTTGTGGTCGGAGGTACAATGTGATGGTAGGGTACCGGGGCGATATCTTGTGCCCATGATAGCTGGCGTGGACGGAGGAAGTGGAAAGAGACTAAATAGGAGTCTAGCTGCCAGCAACAACCAGTGTCGTGACAGGGATAGAAAAGGGAGTAACTTGAAAGCTGAATGAGTTGTGATATATTACATCTAAGCTGCCAAACTTCCTATAACTTGTGAAGATAAACTCCATATATATACAACGGGCTTCGTTATCCTCCAACACCCGCAACCCGCAACCATCTCTGAACAACTGTCTCAGGGAGAAACCCATGAAGCAGGCGCCGGCCACTCGTCAGCAGTGTGGTGATCCCCCCCGGCAAAAACACTAAAACCGTCCGTCGCTATGACGAGGTGTCATCGACTGGCTTATGAGTTGGAAGACATCCTGACATCCTGCGACCGATCACCAAACTACCACAGCCCTATACGGGCGGTGGTCCGACTCTCGAGGATCTGGCCGGGCGTCCCCAAACCTCGCAGCAGGTTTGGTGTCGTAGTCTGGGCCCGTGAGAGCAAGGTCCTAAACTGCGGAGAGGGCAGCGGTTTGCCTCTTTTGGGGGCGGGGAAGGCAGGAGTTCGACCCATGATGAGAGGTTTCAAGTTCTCCCGGCCAAGATGACATCCTGATTGCATGTTTGCAGACACAGAGTGCTGGAGCGAAAGCCCTATCTGTGGCTTCAAACCTCAAAGCGGCTGTAGTTGATCAAGGCCTTTGGTTCTGGACCTGTTTCATCCCTCTCTCTCCCACCATGCGGCGCATTGGAAGGCAGTGCGGAATGGGAGTTGGGAAGTGGAATCCCATGCATCATTTGATGCTATAAGAAGCCCATGTGATACCAGTTGGCTTGGCAGCCACAGTTTTTTGAATCTACTACCGCCTTTTATATCAATTTCTGTTTTCACCCCATCAAGCAAGCTTTGCTTTTGAAATAAACAATCGGTGTCCCACCCACCACCCCGTTAAACCTTCTATCATGTCTGCAGCGCAGAGGAGCGGAGGATCGTCCTCGACTGGGGGCGCTGCGGCACGGCCAGCAGCCACCAAAACTGTACCAGAAGAGACCGAAAAAAGCGGCATGCAGCTCGAGAACGAGAAGGCTGCCAACAGAATAAATTTAGCATTGGGAAGCGACGGTGGCGTGCGCCAACAAAAACTACTACGAACTCATCGCCTTCGACCGGGCTGTGACCAAGGCAGAGGTATCCCGAATCGTGGGCTCGAATATAGGCCTGATCGCTGTTCAACGACTCCCTCAGCTAGGGGTAGATCTCGACGACAAACCTCTCGAGCCAGTCCAGGTGATGCCCGTGGGCGGCCACGTCATGGAAAACCTTGAAGCGAAGTATCAATTTCGGACCATCACTGTCGTGTACGGCAATGAAGAGCGTGACGCCTCGATTCTTTTACGTCCGCGCCAGACTGCTCGTGCTGCTGGAGCCACCAGATAGCCCGAAAAGCCCGTTCAGTCATATTGGGGTCAGGAGGGACGTTTCGGGATGGGGATGATGAGTGGTGGAGTAAAGGGGGGCTGGGTAGGACCAAGCAAGGAGCACTGGAGCAGGGAACCTCGGATGACGAGTTGCAACAACGCACCGTTAGCATTGATACTGGCTCTTAAAACCCCTTATACCACATCAGCATCCGTACATGTATGTATTGCGATGCCCGTGTTGTACCGAATCCAGGTGTATTACCCAATCCTGCTGTTAGCACCTTGTCTCGACTATCTCAACAGAGGTAGAAGAGCAAATGAGATATGGTTTGCCGATCACAAATCTGGGGGCGGTCATACAAGCGGCGGACCACCATCAACCAGATGTTGAGACCGCACAACGGTGACCACTAATCGCCGGGAAGGCGGTCGTTCTCCGGCGGCAACTAAAAACCAAGTTTTAAGAACACTGAGATCTTGACTAGCAGCCCTGATCAAACTCCCTTCTTGATATGGAAGCTATGTAAATTAACCGGACCGGTAACTAGACAAATGTGATGAGTGACGATGAGATCCGCACTAAGTTGTCTCTTGGTTCCGCCTGTGAGTTCATGGAGGCGTCGGATAGGAAGGGGGAATCGGAGAAAAGGCCATAGATACCAGGGCAGCATGTCAAGAGGATGGGGTGTTGGAGAGGGAAAACCTTTGAGTGAGGTGCGTGTATGGATAATAATCCTCGAGGTTCCCGAGATGGAGCAGCCGGGGACCTTGAAAAAGCAAGGCGCGGTCGTTTTAACGCTGCCACGATCCCCATAAATTGCAAGATGGGTTGGTTGAAGCCCACGCGTAGGTAAAGCCCTACAGTTGTGGTTACCCAAGGATGTGATGATGGTAAAAGTAACCCGTGTTAACCCGTGTTAATAAGAAAGGGTAGTAGTATGAACGAAAAACTCCAGCCGAGAATCGCATGCAACCCCATCCATGATATTCCCACCTGTCCATCCGATTCAGCCCTCGGTCCGTCCCATTCAGTCCTCAGTCCGTTCCACCCGATATGAGACCGAAACCACGTAAAAAAGACAAAAGAAAAAAAAAGTTATCTAATAAAGGCTGAGGGGGTTCGCTGTTTCATACGGTCCTGTATGTCGCCCGCCTGAAGCTAACGTGCGAGCAACCAAGTGCCCGGGGCCGCTCAGACCTCCTTGCGGCTGACCGACGCTATGAAACCTTGGTATTGGTGGTCGTCGGCATCCATGACCCTCCCGAATGCCTTGCCTTTCCCTGCGACGCCCTTCATGTCCGATTTTGAGGGTTTCGCAGTCCACAACACACTAGGCGGTTGCTGTGCCGGTTTCTGCACTACCTCAAGGCCGTTCTCCTTGTCCCTGAATGGCCCGCCATTTAATTGTTTGACCTCCCGCTCGTTCTCCTTGTCGTCCTCTGACCCATCGCGGCGTGGCAACCTCATGGCCAGCAGGATGTACTCCGCCCGCGTCATCTTGACCATCACATCGTCCATGTATCGCCGCACCTCATCTGGCGGTGCAACCACCCGGGCGAGATGCTCGAGGTGACGGCCGGCGTGAGTGAAAAGCCGTATCGTTAGGGGTTGGTAGTAATCGAGCGAAGGATCCGCCATCGGGTACTCGGCCTTGCTACCTTTCCGCACGAGGAGAAATGAGGCTATTACTTGTTGCCCGGAGGGAACCGGGACGTACTCGAGGAGGCTGAATTTCGGAAAGAGGTACCGGTCGCCCGTCCCGCCGGTGAACTCGAATACGAGAGCCGAGATGTCAGGTTTTGGCGGCGGGGGCGGCGGACCCTTGGACCGAAGTGCCGTCTGCGGGGCGGGTGAATGCGTGACGGGAGTAGACACGGCTGTGTAGCCGTTGGGGGCACCATTGGGTTTAGTAGATGCTGGCGAAGCCGGGACCGGTGATTGCGTCTGCTGACGTTCCTTCTCTTTGATAAGCTTGGTACGCAGGCCGTCGAGGATGACCTTGAGATCCGTGGCGTCCGCAAATTGTGTTTTGTTCTCAGCGATGCGCCGCACTATATCGCGGGTCTTGGGATCGTCGAGCGCGGTCTTGACCAGCATGACAACGAGCGCATCACTCCCTACCGGCGGCCGCAGGTCGGCCGAGGTTTGTTTGGGATTTGACGTGAAGACGATGTCTAGAATTGCGCGAACTTCGTCTGCGAAGTACCGCACGGTCCTCCCATCAACCAAGAGCCTGTCTGCTGACGGCCCTGATGTACCTCCATTTCGTTTGCTCTCAGCGGTGATGGCGTCAATAATGGCCTGAAACCGCTCGAGTTCATGTTTCGCTGCTTCCCCCTGCGCGACGCGTTTCATAAGGTCGCGGAGTTGGGGATCCGACCCAGCCTTCTCTGCGAGCATTAGGATGATCGGATCAGTGCCAGGTGCGGGTTTCGCCGTTGCGCCAGCAGGTGTGGCAGAGGTGCCATTTGGCACTGGGTTGTTGGCTACCGTGGTTGCCGGTCGTGGACCCGCCGGTGCACCTGTTGTCGGCCCTGACGGAAGGGATTGATTTGGCGGAGGGGTGGGCCGCGGCGGCTGGGGTTGTGTAGCCGCGGAGGGTTGTGAGTTCAATGGTGCTGCAGTGCCAGGTGAGAGGACTGCCTCCATTCCGCGCGGCGAAGCAATTGGCCTTGCCGGCATGGGAGGAACAGGTGGCGCAGACCTTGATTGATCTGGCGTTGCTTGGTTCATGTTTGGTCGTGCCAAAGGCAGAGTTGGTGTTTGTGTTGGGGTTTGTAATGGAGCTGGCGGTTTTGTCTCTACTGGCCCGGGCCGGGGTTGTGTTGTGCTTGGGACGGGACCTGACGGGTTTGTGGGCGTCATCGCCTTTGATGTCGGCGTGGGTGGTGGTGGCATCGTTCCGTTTGGTGGGCCGTACTGTATAATGGGTCGTTCAGCCGTCGGGGGTGGAGGTGCAGGGGGCTTCGGGTCTTTAACAGCAAACATGGTTGCTTCGAAGACGTGTGGCTCGACGGTAATGGTGACTTGACCGATCTTAGTCATGCTTTCCTTGGGCGGATTATTCGGCTCTTCGATCACGACACCCTTTTTCTTGGTTGGCTTAGACCAGTACTTCTCAAAGATGCCCTCCATTGTCCACTTTTGTCGCGACCGTGTGAGAGATTCGGAGAGCACACCACTGGACTACCTGTTAGCTTCTCGGCGTTGCTCACACAAGATTAGATCAAAGTACATGCCTCTCTGTAACGGTCTGGTAATCGGAGCGTGAGAGGTCGTCGGGTTGGGGAGAATCGACTGTAGGTAGTGGCTTGCCAGCGGTGATGGATTTCGGAAGTGGCGGGGCAATATCTACGATCGGAGCTGGTTCAGGCTCAGGCTCAGGCTCGGGTGCTGGTGCGGGTGCCGGAGTTGCTGATCTCTTTGGGGGAGTCATAGTCCTCCTTTTCGCAGCTTCTTCAGCCCGCGCCGCGGCGCGTGCCGGCAGCTTTCTCTTCCTCTCCATTATAGCGACCAGCCGGAGCGGATGTGCGAATCGAGCGAGGTTTCGTCATATATTCATCGGCATTGACAGCTCCGTTAAAAGAAGCTAATCAAAGCCCTTGGAAAGGGGAATACAGCTCGTCCAAGGCCTGGTTGATGTTGTCGGATAACTTGGTTCACGAGGTTGTTGCAAGGTTGCAAATGGAAGCTGGGGAAGAATGGCTGGTCCCCAAAAGAAAATGGGCCCTGTCGTTGTTCGACGCGCTAGCAGGCCCCTGCAACACCGGGAAATGCCGCTGATTGGCGGTTTATCGCCAAGCTCGCAACCTTCTGCATGGGCGGATCCGTTTGAATGCGGGAGAGCAGAGGTTCCAGCAGTGGTTCCTGGATTACGGATTTTCTGCTGGTGAAGAAATAACTGCAATGTGAAGGAGACCAAGGTATTTCGGAAACACCAATGTGAATGATGGGTGAAAATATCGGGTGATCGGTGGTTTGTTCACGGGTTTTCATTTTCTAAATATTTATATCGAGCAACGGGAATGTATTTGAGAACCGTGAACTGCGGCTGACAACAAACGGGCAGCATGTTGAACAAGCTCAGAATCCATTCCGCCCCACACCGCCAACGTCAGCCAGCCATGCAGAGCAACTTCCATGGATAGGAGGTTCCTTCATCCTCCGAGTCACAAGTGGAAACAAAATGCTAGACGGCAGGGTCATGGAAGGAAGCTGTTAATCTTACACAGACACGCGCATGTATTACACTCAATTTGATGTGATCACGCCACATTAACAGCAAAAAATCTGCGATTGGCAGCCACCCAAAATGGCAAATACAGCTGCCATTCTCGTTCCCAGTCTCGTTGTTGGCATTCCAGTGGGTCTATATCTTGTCTTTCTAGGTCTGAGCGCCGTCCCATATTTCCAGCGAAAGTAAGATTCACCCACATAATTCCTTCTCCTTTTCGTTTCCCTCTGGGAGGTGATAGGAACTTCGCGATGATAGCAACTGATTCAGTCTCTTCCTTGCCAGTTTCCTTTATGCGCACAAAGTCCACACCCTGTGGTGGAGGGACATCAACAAGCCGGAACAATGGGGATTTGCGAGTGAGTATTCGTATATGGTTCATCAACCAACCGATTGGCGGGCATGCAAGTCGATGACTAACCGTTAACCCCCCTCCTAAGAGAACCAAGTAACTCCTTTCCATCTCACCACCTCCGACAACCAGACCCTATATGCATGGCACATTCTCCCCCTCCCTGTCTACGCCCAGCATGAAACCAAACTATGTTCCCAACCCAGCGGCATCTCCCCCGACATAACCGCCACCGAGAACTTCCGCCTCCTCCGTGACGACCCCACCGCCAAACTGGTCATCTCCTGTAAGTCATTTCGAGCCCCTTTCCCACCCACCCCTCACTAACCCCCCACCCCGGGCAGTCCACGGCAACGCCGCGCAACTCACCCAAGGCCACCGCCCCGCGCACTACCACACCCTCACCGGCGCGCACAGCCCCTACCACCTCCTGACGCTCGACTACCGGGGCTTCGGCCTCAGCAGCGGCACGCCCACGGAAGCCGGGCTCATCCGCGACGCCGAGGCCGCCGTGGAATGGGCCGTCCACACGGCCGGGGTGTCCCCCGCGCGCATCGTGCTCGTGGGCCACAGCCTGGGCACGGCCGTGGCGGCGGCGGCGAGCGAGCGGTTCACGCTGTTGGGGTCGGGGGAGGAGCGGTGGGATTTTGCGGGCGTGGTGCTGGTGGCGGGGTTTAGTTCGTTGCCGGAGATGTTGAGTGGCTACGCGATTGCGGGGTGGGTGCCGGTGCTGAGACCGCTGACGTGGTGGCCGTGGTTGTTGGGGGTGGTGATGGGGCGGGTGGTGGATCGGTGGGATAGCGCGGGGAGGTGGAGAGAGGTGGTGAAGGGGGTGAGGGCGAGGGGGGGGCGGTTGAGGTTGAGTTTGGTGCATGCGAAGAATGATTGGGATATTCCAGCTCATGAGGATGATAAGGTGTTTAGGGCGGCTGTGGAGGGGTTGATGGGGGGGAGGGTGGATGGGGAAGGGTTTGAGCTAGAGAAGAAACGGAGGACGGTGGTCAGGGGGAAGAACTCATTCGTCTCGACCTGGGAGGAGGGGAATGTGGTGGTGAGGCAGGAATTATTTCCACATGGAGGTAGGTTTGTGCCCTGGTTACTGGGAGTGAAGCGAGAGGGCTAACATTGTTAGGACACAACGCGGTGTTGACGTCGGCTCCGGTGCTTGTCGCTATCATGAAATCATTTGGTCTCGACGATGAGTCCACCAATTAGACACGGATTAGAGACGACGGACTATGGCATCACTGACATGATACCTTGTTGGAACGAGATGAGGATCGGAGCATCAGGGGTCGTTCTTCTTCACCCGCCCCAAGGTTGTGTAAAGATACCGGATGAACAAACACAACACTAATAGGGAACTGGCAGATGTGTTGCTACAAGATCTGAACGAGAAAAGACGAGAAAACATTGAAACATCTGAAACACCCAACTCCGTTGCTGAGATACCGCTGAAACCCTTCAATTCCGTGACTCTCCCCTACCACGAATCCCCGCCCCAGCCTAGTTGGCGATTCACTGCAGTGATGGCATTGATCCCATGTCGAAGGAAGCTCGGAGCGCCCTCCAGGGCGGCGCCGAACGGTTCTTCGGGGGCAGTCTGGGAGGCGATGAGGTCCTCCTGGTCCAGGGTGCCTTGCCGCTTGTCCAAAACCGCCCGACTGATGGCCCGACCCCAAAGGTTGTAAAGATGGTCCTCAGACATACTCACATACCGCTTGTTTCCATTTTCCTCCGTAATCGAGAACGGCCAATCAGCAACGGCTACCTCAAACCGTTTGGTTCGGAAGAAGAGGTACGGCCAAGTGAGAAGCCACATGAAGCTGAGATAACACATCCAGACAATCCAAGGAGTCAAGCGCCACCTGTTGGGCTTGCAATCACTGTAGACCGTCACGTAGTCGTCCCTGACCGGGAACGAGATGGTGACTTTCCCACGGTAGTTGGTTCCGCGGACGAGCGTCTCCAGTTTCTGCTTCATTTTCTCCTCGTCGAAGCCCACCACTTGCCTCTTGAGGACGAACGATTTAATGCCGGCATGACTGGCGCAGTACCGGTGGCACCATTCAGCGAGAGTCGGTTTTGAGTCAGAGACCTCAAGGTCCCGCTTGACACCGGGCGCCCGCTTCCGCAGGGTGGTACCGCGCCGGGTGCGCTCCGTGTTCTCAACGGTACGCAGTTCTGTCCAGGACGTGCCCCTCGCGGCATCCGAGAAGAGGTAGGGCGTGAGCTCCACCGAGACGTCAAAGTCGGTGATGGTCTTCTTCTCCGACTTGCCCTTCTCCTGGACGGTTTGGCTGTGGGTGCCGAGAACGCGGACGGAGGGGCGTGGCGGTTTGGTGGCTGACTTCCGGATTTGGCGTTCCAAGATGGATGGATCTTGGTCTAGGGTCGGGTGGATAAGGAATTCAGCCCCAGTGTTTGCGTCTACTTGGTGGAAGCTGGTGCCGTTGTCCTCGAGGTCCACAACGTACGAAGGGTTATGGATAATTGGGAGGAGGGGTGCGTTGGCAGTTGTGTCTGGCTCTATGTCCGAGTAGAGAGGCGGCATGTCGGATTGCAGTTCTGGAGCATCGTTATCGTACACACGGTCGCTGGGCTGGCTGTGGAGCGACACGGCGTCGGAGCTGCTTCCGGCGAGGCCGGGGAGAGGAGAAGTGGGTTTTCCCATGATGTGGGTTGGCGATTGTCTACGTGCGTTAAACAGGAAGAACAGAATGAATGACTGCGAAAACGAGGTAAATGAAGGAGCGATGAAGAGATGCCGGGAGCAGATGAAATAAAGGGAGAAAATGGCCCCGACTTCGTTCAGCTCATCCGCTGCTTCCCGTCGGGCAAGAACAAGGGGCGGAAGGCTCAGGCAACAGTGGCGGAGCACCCGTTAGTTCACCAATCATGGCCTAGACCGCTCCCAAAAAACACTTGACACATGGCCCACGCGTCGATATCCAACTTGTTCTCGTTTTTAGTATTTCCCGAAGAAGATTACGGCGGATATCATGAGAATTGGACATGGCTTGTGTGAAATAGGGAGAAACTTAATCCTGCTCGCCCAAATACTGTCCTTTTTGCGCGGCAAGATGAAATCTGTCAGGCTTGTCGTGCCTGAGTGTCATGCAAGTTCAAGAGCGCCCATGGCTTATCGATAAGGAAGGCATGGGGAGCTGGCCCGAGAGCCCCTGTTCCATTGACTTTGGGTTTTGGAATCTCGACCCCGCGGTGAACAAGCTCAAATCGCATGCCCCGCTTTCCTGCCTAGCTGTACCAGATCCCAAACATTGTCTGTTGCGGAGGGACCGAGCTACGGTTTTAATTGATCGCACACCAAGCACCTCATGCAACTGTAGAGAAAATTGAGTATTCCTTTCCACAATTATCCATTCAGCATGGCGGAAGAGTCGAAGCAGGTCGACCCTACCCAGGAACAAGCCGCCCAGGAAGCTGCCGACACAATCGCCAAAGTGACCGACAAAGGAGCCGAATCGGACGAATCGGGCTCGGAAGCTGAAGATGACACAACCCAGGCAACAGCCGGCGGCGATGGCGAAGGGGCTGCAAAGAAAAAGAAAAAGAAGAGCAAGAAGAAGAAGGTGAAGCAGGCATTGGCCGACACGCTCGGGCGCGGTGGCATGACGGCAGCGCAGGCCGAGGCAGACCCCAAGAAAGCGCTCGAGGGCTTGACACCCCAGCAGATCAGCGAATTCATCGCCCTAAACCCGGCCCTGGCTAACGAGCTCCTCAGCGGCGAGGGATCGAGCGACGCGACCTCCAATGCCATCGAAGCCTTCAAGAAACTCAAGCTCCAGGATATAATGACTGGCCTGGCAAGCAGTGGGAAAAATCGGAAGGATATGGCGTCGTACAAGTTTTGGAGCACCCAGCCTGTCCCTCAGTTTGGAGAAGAGGAGGAACCTAAGCTCATCGAGGAGGGACCTCTCAAAATCCAGGAAGTCAAGGACATTCCAACGGAACCGTTGTCCCTTGCTCTCGAACAGTTTCGCTGGGTCACCATGGACCTCACCAACGACGCGGAGATGGAGGAAGTTGAGAAGCTGCTCTATGGTCATTACGTAGAGGATGACGAGGCCATGTTTCGGTTCAAATATTCCAACTCGCTGTTGAAATGGTGAGTGCATACATAATAGGGCGGCTGAGATGAGGGCACACTAACATTGACCTAGGTCTCTCCTATCACCAGGTTGGAAGAAAGAATGGCATGTCGGGATCCGCAGCGGCAACACGCTCTGCGCATTCATCTCGGCGATCCCGACTGAGATGCGTGTGCGAGACAACGTGGTCCGGAGCTCCGAGGTCAACTTCCTTTGCATTCACAAGAAATTGAGAGGCAAGCGGCTCGCACCTGTCCTCATCAAGGAGATCACACGACGGATCAACCTGGAGGGCACTTGGCAAGCCATCTACACCGGTGGTATTGTCCTCCCGCGGCCCGTGAGCACCTGCCGCTACTATCACCGCGCATTGAACTGGACGAAGCTTTATGAGGTTGGATTCAGCCCATGCCCACCAAATAGCAAGCCATTGTACCAGGCGAGGAAGTACAATGTTCCCGAGAATACCTCGACCCGCGGGCTTCGGGAGATGGAGGCCAAGGACCTCGATGCCGTGAAGGACCTGCTCGAGCGGTACCTCCAGCGGTTCGACCTCACTCCCGTGTGGGACAAGGCCGAGGTTGAACACTGGTTGCTCCACAAGAAGGATGCCCCCGGGGAGCAGGTTATTTGGTCTTACGTTGTTGAGGTGAGCACCTTAGCCCTAGGTGGTGGGTGGGGGGTAGTGGGTTATCTGAGCTGACACATGCCACAGAATGCTGAGGGCAAGATCACCGACTTCTTTTCCTTCTACTGCCTTGAGTCTTCGGTCATCCAGTCCCAGAAATACTCGGCCATCCGTGCCGCCTACCTGTTCTACTACGCCACCGATGTGGCATTCTCGGAGCAAAACGACCGCTCCGCGCTCAAGACGCGCCTGAACGCGCTGATGGCTGACGCTCTCATTCTCGCCAAAAGGCACAACTTTGACGTGTTCAACGCGCTCTCGTTGATGGACAACTCGTTGTTCTTGGAGCAGCAAAAGTTTGGGCCGGGCGATGGCCAGCTGCATTATTACCTATTTAACTACAAGGCGAACCCAATCCACGGTGGTGTCAACAAGAGGAACCAGCTGGAGGAAGGGGTATTGAGTGGAGTTGGGTTTGTGATGCTGTGACGAGGGCTGTTGTAGGGAAGCAAAGCTGCAGGATATTGTTAGATACCAGGAGACAGAAGAGAAGTAGTCTGCGCCTGTAATGATGTCTACATGTTCCGTCTCTTGTGTCTACGGCATCTACGTGTACGATGCTTCCACGCCCCTTCATACAACACTCCTTGACTCCTTTGCAAAGCCCCACCCCCCTACACTCCAACCTCCCTTTACCTTCTAACTTACAGACACCCATTCCTCCCTCCTCACCCAAAGTCCCGGCGGCAATCTTCCAGCCATAAAGGCCTAAAACCCTCTCCTTTCACCACTTTCTAGCCCGTGAGATATCAGCCACCCAGAGTTGAGAAAGTATTCGTGCTAACACTATCACCCAAGTGCCTGACCATACTCTGCCGGAAAACGCATCTTGTCGGCCGGTCGAGTAACGGGGTTCGGAGATGTAGATACGCGCAGTCGCGGAAAGGGAATCCTGGACAGGAATTGGGCTGTCACGTCGGGTTGGGATGGGCAGCAAAACCCGGACGGGCCGGACGTAT